GGACGAGGAAATTGGTCCACCTTTTATATCTATTTTTTACTATCAAATTAGACTCTCAACAATCAACGATCAATTACACTTAAACATTTGTATCAAATTAGACTCTCAACAATCAACGATCAATTACACTTAAACTTTCGCATCAAATTAGACTTTCAATTAATTAAACAGATCAAATTAGACTTAAACTTTTTCATCAATCAGACTTAAACTTTCGCATCAAATTAGACTTTCAATTAATTAAACAGATCAAATCAGACTTAAACTTTTTCATCAATCAGACTTAAACTTTCGCATCAAATTAGACTTTCAATTAATGAAACTGTTAAATCAAATTAAATAGTATGGTGATACGTATGTTTTATTTTTAAATTCCTATACTTATTCAATTTTCGTTCAATTTTTTGTCTATTTCGTCCAAATTTAATATGGTTTTTTTAATTATACCATCAATATCACATTAAAAACGGAATATAAAAAATCACAATATTACTAAAAATTCGACATCACTAAAAATTTGATATTAATAATTACAATTTTATTCAACGTAAAAACATATTACAACTTTATCATATCTAACTTTTATCAAAAAATGAATAAAGGGAGAAGAAAATGCATTCTTGGACGAATATAATAATCCGAGTTCTTCAACCTCTGAACGAACTTATGCCGAATTTACAACCAGAAAACCAAGATCGAAGGTTCCGTGCTATTGCAGCAATTGTAATGGGAAAATGATTGATCCGCGCACAAAGGAGAGACACGAGCAAACGAATTCTTTAGAACCATTAAATTCCGATAAGGCTCCAACGTCTCAAGAGTTAGTAGAACTGATTGATTCGACAATATCGTTAGAAGAACCACAAGATATGATAATATCGTTAGTAGAACCACAAGATATGACAATACCGTTAGTAGAACCACAAGATACGACAATATCTATTGATACATATGGTGGTATGCGGACGACTAATCGTCGTCTTTAGCAGCTGAAAACCGCGGGTTTAAAACCGAAACCGAACCGAACCGACCATTGGCATCCCTAACTATGCGTAATGAAAAAGCATGTACCAGAGAGCATAGTGAACATCTCTATTTTATCACAAATTTGCCGCTGATCATTTATTTGATCTTATTCTGATAATGATATGTATGAGGAACAACAATATGTATTTCTTCCACGTAAAAAAAGGTCAAAAACAGGCACACTTCGTCATATTACTGAAGTTGAGCAAGTCGCTGAATCAACTGAATATGATACGGATGATATCTACACCATCAGCAAGTTTGAAAAGTGTTGATTCACACCAGTATACCAGGGTATAAAATAGTACTGTAAAAATCGGAAAAAACTGATATATTTTAAAAATGTCCGAAATTTTTTATATCAATCGGTTTTTTTGCCGAGAAAAATTTTAAGGGGTAAATTATTTGAAAATGATTTTTTATGATAATCAGATATTTTTTTTTGTAGTTTTATCAAAATTAACGAAATAACGAAATATATACCTTAAAAAAAAATGACTCTTCTTCGTTATTATAAACCTATTAATGCTAATGTAAATAAAAGTAAAAATAAGGATAAATTGAATGAAAAGGATAAATCTTTATCTGAAAGTGATGAAAGTAATTTATCTTTATCAGAAACTTCTTTATCAGAAATTTCTACAGAAGAAATAAATGAAATAGACGAAAAAAATTCTCAAAGAAGTTCTAAAAAACGAAAAATTTCAAAATCTTGTATATCAAAAAGAAAAACAAAAGCGAAAATTAATAAAAAAGGATTTCAAAAAAAATGGCTTAAAGAATTTTCATGGTTAAAATATGATTCTAAAGAAAAAAAAATGCACTGTGAATTATGTAGATTTCATGGTATTAATATTCCTTTCACTAAAGAAGGTATAACGATCACTGGTCGAATGAAGGGCTACCGGGTAAATTTCATATACCCGATAGCCCTATTATATGTTTTCGATTTTAACCTGAATGGCAGCTGATCGATCCACCCGATTTGTGACCGGTTCTCGGCACAGATCAGGTATAAGTCATGTGACTATCAGGTTAGAACATAACGGTAAAGTGCTATATGAATATCAGGAGAATTTCAGCAATCCGATATTTCTCCGAACTATTTATAATATTAGATGTATATTTGCTACATCAAAACCCAAAACTTATTATTTATTCATTTATATATACTATATATTATTTATTTATTTATTTATTTAACATAATAACATATATATATATTTATATTTTTAAAAATTATATTCGTTAATTTATCCTATTCTATCTATCTACATTATGTTGTTAATGGTTTGGAATATTATTCCAGTTGGTTCGATTCCAACAAACAACTATTTTTCCCAAAGTTTTTATGCCAACTCTTCCAAACTATTGCCTACTAATACC